TAAAGAACGTCTGTTATCGTTATTGTAATTATTTCTATATCCTCTATTGTTATTGTTTTGTTGATAATTTTCATTACTGTTAAAAGGTCTGTTGTTTTGATTAAAATGATTATTATTTTGTCTGTACTGGTTATTATTTTGTCTGAAGTTATTATTTGGTAGTTGTCTGTTGTAATTGTGATTAAGATCTCTATTATTGTTATTGTTTAACTGTCTTTCATATTTTTCCCCGTAATTTGTATTATTACTAGTAGTTCTTTCTACTCTAGCAATGTAACTTAATAGCCCTTCAAAAGTTTTTATATTTTGTACACCCACAGTCTCAGTAATAGAGGGTTTGAAATGTCTTGACATGTACATTACAATTTCTTCTTCTCTTAGAGCTGGTTCTAAATGTTGCATATGCGTGTATAATTGTAAAATGTAGTTCGTCATTGTCGTACCTTTGTCATTGTATTTTCCAAAGTATAATCTTTCCCTAGCTTGTCCTTGTTGAATATCGCCCCAAAATTGTCTATTAAATTTTTCTTCAAATTCTTCATAATTTGTTAAATTAGTTTCAATGCATGAAAACCATACTTGTGCCTGTCCACTCAAACTATTTCTTACTATTTCCCTCCATTCTTCAACATTTCCTGTTTCTTTTAATTTATTTCTCATAATTTTGTTAAAAGTTATGGGATGAATTTTCTTGACATCCCCGTCAAATTTGCTTAAACTTTCTTGATAATGATGGATATTACGTATTATATTCCTATCATCATTAACGCCTATTCTCTCAATGTTTTGTATTCTGTGATGCAAATTTTCCTTTGTGGTTTTTAAATTATTCTCCAATTTATCTTTTTCAGTAATTATTATTCGTCTTAATTTTTCATTCTCCACCTCTACTATGCTTAAGTTCTGTCTTATTTCTTCTTTTAGATCCTTTTCTATGATTTGTATCTCTTTGCTGTTCTTTAAAATCTTTCTTTCTAATTCTTCTTTGCCTAATATTGTGTTGCTTTTATTCTTTAATTCTGTTCTTATCTGTTTTTGTTCCTCTTGTAATTTATTTATGTATTCTTTGTTTGCCCGTATGTTGTTTTTATTTTGTTCCATTTCTTTCGTTAGCGTATTAAGTTTTCTTTTGATTTCTATACTTACGTCTTCTAATTTCTTTTCTAGTATTTCTTGTCCTCTCTTCGCATCTTCTTGACCTTTCTTCATATCTTCTTTCATTTCTTCTTGACCTTTCTTCATATCTTTCAGAAAAGCTAACATTTGCATCAGCATAGTGTCCTTTTCTCCTACTGTTCCTTCTCCTGTTCCTTGTATATCCAGTACCTCCTGTGGTGTTTCTTCTGGTATTTCTTCATTTAGTTCATTTTCTTTGTTTTCCAAAGTATTGTCTGTATTTTCATCATTTTCGTCTTCTCTAACTGGTTTAGTGTTTCCACTTCTTAGATCCATTTTAAATTATGTATTGTTTTATTAAAATTTAAAAATATAAGTTTGTTATTAAATATACTATTAAAGCAATATTTTTTTTTTATACTAAAAAAAAAATTCAAAATGCAATTAACCTTTCAAAAATTAATTTTTTTTTTTTTTTAATTATTTTATATAAATACGCCTCTGTTTATTTCGAGCCCCACGTTGGGCGCCAATTGATATGGATATGAGTTTGATATTCAGGATTTTAGTTTATATTGATCATAGTGTGATATATTTTTTATGTTTAACTTGATAATTTTTTTTTTTAAATAATTATTACTCAACCATATCATGAGTTATACGAATTAACCTTTATTAATTTCTGTTATTGCTCCGGCTATTACTCTTATCATCTCACGGGTCTTGGATTCTGGCGCTATTCCTTGTTAATATGAATCTTTTTTTTTTTATTTAATAAGTTACCTTTCTCGATTAGAGTGTTATTTTCCCAATTAATCAATAAAATATTCCTTTTACAAAAATATTAGTTTCATTTTATTTACAAACCAAATCATTTCAACATTTTGATATAAATAGGAACAAGAAAATTATTTATAATCAATTTTGTGGATAGAAAATGGCGGACACGCCATCTATTGGAGGATATTACAGTATGCTGTGCTCTGAAAACGAACTACTTTACTTAAGCAAACTGAAACTAGCTTTCTGTAATTACCCTTCTTAAAATATTTGTAAAGAGCTCTATACATCTAACCTAAATTTAAAGAAATTTATTTACACCAAACCAATGCAGAAATGCAGAATACAGAACGTAACAAAATGTTTATTGTGTTTAAAAACCGAAAGTCTATTAATAAACTGTTCAAAAAAAAAACTTTTAAAAGTAAGTAGCTTGCAGTATCGTTTTTTAAACAACTTGTTTAAACTTTTTTACTCACTAAACATCAGTTCTTTCCTAGTTAAAGTTATTTTGATTCCAGGAATTGGAAATATAATCCTTCTCAACATGGACGAAATGGCCGATTCCCACAGAATCGTCTGTCTGCTCGGTGACCGGAGTTTAATACACGATTTGCTCTTTCTAGTTAACGGTAGGTAATTTTTTTACTCACCCAGGATGTACATAATAAAATTTAAAAGAATATTTTATTATTTTTAGGTTGCAACTGCTTAAATTATATCAAGAATTCCAATTTTTAATTTAAAAAAAAAATCTCCAACGTTTGTCAAAAACTCCATCTCAAAATCAACAACCTCTTAGTTACCCCTTGGATACCAATCATCCAAAAAAAAGAAAAAAGTAAAGGTAGGTTCGTATGTTTTTTTTTTTATGTTATTGAGATACTCTTTGTGGTCATTGCAATGTGATTTTTTTTTTTAATTATGTTTACTTTTTAGTGATTTTTTTTTTTTTAAGTGAACCTTTATTGTTTAATCAATCATTATTTAATATTTTTTTTATCACTTATGACAGCTAATGTTTCTTTTTACTTACAAAGTTACTGTACTAATTGTCACAGTGTACAGTTCGTCCCAAATTAGAATTTACTTTTGTTATTTCATTTCAATATATATATATATATATATATATATATATATATATATATATATATATATATATATATATATACAGGGTGGCTCACGCTCAACGGGACGGAGCTTTATGGGAAAACGACCAAAGATATAACAAATTCGTTTGGGAGGAATACCTAGGTTACAGACGGCTATAATTTAAAATTTGTTAGATGTATACAGGATGTCCCACATAAGAGAAAATATACAAAGTTATATTATTTTTATTGGAACACCCTGTTTTTTATTTTAGAATTAAAAACTACATTACTATTATTATTAGTTTTCGATTTATTTGAATTTTTAAAGAAAAAAAGTCTCCCAGAAATTAATTGTTTACTCTTGTTTGAATAATTTTTAATGAACTATTTTTATTTCATTTATGTGGGACATCCTGTATACATCTAACAAATTTTAAATTGTAGCCGTCTGTAACCTACGTATTCCTTCCAAACGAATTTTTTATATCTTTGGTCGTTTTCCCATAAAGCTCCGTCCCGTTGAGCGTGAGCCACCCTGTATATATTTGAAATTGGATGAAGATGAAACTAAGTTTAACTAGATTTTGACATGGTTTCTTTCAAAAACTTTTAATTTTATAATGAGATGAGTCAGAGAACTGATATTTAAAGAAAGTTTAAATAAATATGTACATATTGATTTCTTAATTTTGAAATATGGAATGAATTTTTTTAAGAAAATGATAAAAATTTACCTCTAAACGTGATATTTCTGATTTGAGTTCCTCATTTTCTTTCTTTAATTTGCCTATTTTTTTATCGTCTTATTTACTTAGAGGCTCTTGCATTTGGAGCTCCAACGGTTCTTTATCACGTTCTATCACCTGACATTGAGCAAAACATTATTCAGCACATCACAAATGAAAAATTTTGGACACGATAAAGCTCTCCGCAAGATGGGTGCCGCGATTTTTCACAATGGAGCAAAAACGTTTATTGCTATTCAAGTGCAATCCAAAATACTTCTTGCGTAGATTCTAACTATACACGAGACCTGTGTTCACAATCATACACCGGAGACCAAACAGTAGTCAAGACAATAGACAGAGAAAACTAAATCAGTCCCAACTAAAAGTTGCAATAGGCTTTATTTTTATTGATTACTTTGAAACGGGTAAAACGAATAAATGGAGATATTTTTAAATTTGGTTGATCAGCGCAACAGAAAATTCTGGAGAAAGGGCCTATAGGCTGATGCTAAAACGGATTTTAATGGCTAAAAAAAAAAAAAAAATTAATAACAGGTAAGGACTAGGTGGAACATATAGTTAGGGTTATAACTAAAAGAACTAAAATTTTTAAACACGAGATATTTGGAAAGGGGTTGAAAATGTTTTTTTGCGTTTTGCGGCGAAACATAAGCTCCTAGCGAAAATCGTTTAATACAAAAATTGTAGATAATAAAAAAATCTAAAACTTTTGTATATAACATTTTTCAACATAACTCCAAATATTCCGAGAAAATGGCGAAAATCCCATTTTTCAGTTTTTAATTTTTTTCTACCGTAAAAATAATTTAATTTACATGAGATTTGGTGAAAGTCAAACTTTTTTAGTGTTAAATAAGCATGAATTTCAAAAAACGAGTAGTTTTCGAGATATTTACATTTTTTGAAAAAAATACTCTAAACTTTTACGAAAAAGTTTATTAATTTCAAGGTTTTATAAGGGCTCATTTTAACCGTTGAAATATCTACTTTCAGATGGTTTATACATATTGATAGTTTATTTTTGATGGAATCAATAAAAATTGAGAAAAACTGAATATTTTTAATAATTTTTGTAACTCTGTTGAGAAATACACGTACATCAAGCTTAGCTAGTATTTTTTATAAAAAAGATGCAAATCAAATCACAATTGGAGAAAATGGATAGCTGGTATTTATGAAAGTAAAAAATTGAATATTTCATTAAATCAACTGAGATTTGATCTTTACTAACATGCGACAAACAAATCTACGTTCAAATTAGAAAATCTTCCTCCGACTGAAGAATCTGCACAACACTCTTACAGAGTTTATTATCAATTGCAAACTTGGCTAAGTTATTTAAAGAACGAGCTCGATAACAAAAGTTCAAAGCAATGGAATTGGAACGAACGTGCAGGTATACTCGTGTCCAAATTTAACTCAGAAAGTTCTAACTTAATTCCCGAAACATTGCTTAAAAGTATAAGTGGCTGCTGTGGAAGTGGATGTAACAAACAAAGATGTGGCTGCAGAAAACACGGCTTAAAATGTACCGAATTATGCATGAAATGCCATAAGAACGGCTCAAGTAGAGACAACCAAATCTTTAAAGAACTAAGTGATTCAGAAGAAATAATCGATGAGCCAGTACAAAATCTTGACATCGAAATTGAAGAAACCGAAGTTCCCTCGGAGTTTGAAGACTTAATCGATGAAGAACAACAACCACAATGTAAAAGACCAAAAATTAATTAAAATTCGAGATCTGTACATTTTTCATTTTTTGTAAATAATAATAAAAATTACCTTTTTGAAATTACAGAAAGTCAACGTTTATAAAAACTTGTAAAAGCAATACCAATAAATTAATTGTTATTATGTATTAAAATATTTTAATCTGAATAACCCAGAATAGATTACTTATCTTTATAGTATTTTACGAACATATGTTAATAAAAATGCACCCTGAGCCAGTGAATTTCATCTCCAGCATACGACTTTCATCACAATATCATTCTTTACCATGAAAAGTTTCAGAATGTTTTTTCTCCCTTTTTATAATTACATTAATTATATAATAGTGATATTACATGTATTCAAGTTTTTTCATTAAATCGTAACCCATTATTAATAACAAAATACAAAAAATTAAAGAATTACAAAAATAATTAAAAATATCAAAAATTTCCTGATGCAAAAATTAACTTTTTTCAGTTTTTCTCAATTTTTATCGATTCCATTAAAAATAAACTATCAACATGTATAGACTATAAAAGAAGACATTTCAACGGTTAAAATGCGCCCTTATAAAACCCTGAAATCGAAACAAACATCATTAAAGTTTTCTGTGGAAATAGAGTATTATTTTTCTAAAAATGTAAATACCTCGGAAACTACTAAAAATTCATGCTTATTTAACACTAAAAAAAATGTTCATTACCTATAACTTTTGTATTGAACACTTTTCGCTAAGAGCTCACGTTTTGCCGCAAAACGCAAAAACCGCTCTCGGCCCCTAAACTGCACCCCCATTCCACCCCTTCCCAATATCATGTGTTTAAAAGTTTTTGGTTCTTTTAGTTATAACCCTAACTACATGTTCCACTTGGTCCTTACCAGTTATTATTTTTTTTTAACAATATCGACACCAGCTTACTAGTTTATTGAAAACAAAAAGTTTTGTTCCATCACGACAACACCGTATCACAAGTGCATTATTGCAATGGCTAAAATTAATGAACTGTGCTTTGAATTACTGCTTCATGCACTCTTTTCACCAGACTTGGCCCCTTCGGACTTCACTTAATTTTCAACATAAAAAATTTCAACCTGGCAAGAAATATACGTCCGATTTGGAAGTTATTGTAAGTGAATTGAATTTTTATTTATCCCTTTCTCATAGATTTATAATTATCTAAATCTACTCAAAAAATTATTCTGGTAACGTAATAACCCATACATTTATGTGGGATTCTAGACGCAATATATAAAAATAATCCTTTCCCATCGTTTATCTGGATACGTACGTACATATGAAAAGCGCAATTAATAAAACTTATTGTACCTGGCGTTGTTATTATACTAAGAACGAAAAATTCATAAGCTGGTTGAATAGATCATATTAATATCCTTGTATGCAGGTGCTGCATTCGCAGCATTCGCGAATAAGAAATAAATCGAGATACATGGTCGTTGACAGGAATTACCAATACTTCAATCTGGAGTTTTATTCTCTTATTTTGTGTCCATGAAGCATAAATGGATTAGTCCTGAGCTTTGGCGTCTCGTTATTATCACATTTTTAGATGGTTCTGTTCTTTTTGTTTAATTTTGTTCTGATGTAGAATGGATTTATTGTAATTGAAAATTAAAAGAGGGAACGATTTTTGGTTGTCATGGGATTTTTACTGTATTTCATTCCTGTCAGTCTCGCTATAGCCAGTGGTGTTACAAAGAGAGAATATTGAGAAAAAAAATGTATTATTTTTATTAGTTTCATTTTGTCGAAATTAAAAAAATATAAAATTAGAAACAATTTATTTATTATTACAGAATTCTCAAAGTTTCCGAAATTTCCATTTTCTGTTCTTATCGGGGGTATGTGTTGAATTGGTTTGTATATATTTTTTAACAGCGTTGCATTATGAATTATCAGCAATATGGTCATCTGTAAGCTCTTTCAGATATTTGTTGGTTGACTTATTTTTAATTTTTTCTCTCTTTTCAGAGCTAAAAAATAGACCCATACCATAGTGTATTAAAAATAAGCGAACATTTTCGGTTTTATAAAGCCATTTGTCCAGGAAGGATATTTCCTCCCTTATATCTAGCGACCGTCGGACTTTATTCGGATTCTAGTTGCATCACATTTTGCAACTCCTCAATGGTTCAATTTTAATTTTCTCTGCACATCATCAGTCGGTCAACTTCGTCAGGATAACTAGGGAACTTCTGTTATACAAATTTCGCTCGGGTATGGTTCGTATGGCTCTATCTGAAGCACTAACTCCTGAAGCTTGTAAAAATTACCTTCCAAGCTGTGGATGTGAACAATAGGGATTTCTTCGAGCAAATTGAGTTAAATAACGATTCTATTCGCCAGTAGTTAGATTTGGACGACTGTGGCTTGAATGATTACACTGCACAACAGCATTTCTGATGATTGCATTATATTACATGATAAAATTACATAATTTTTAATGAAGACATCAATTCTGCAATCTAAATTTCTGTATTAGCTTTAGTTTAGAAAATGTGACACATGGCCGTTTCGTAGTACTCGTAAAACACAATTTGTTTAAAATTAATCATATTTTATTTAGTTCTTACGGTAAAAAAACTTTCTTTTATAAGAATTCCTTGCTGAGGTTGAACCCATAGAAATGTTCTGAATGCTCCAACAATAGTCAACCATCATGTGTGCGTTCCAGTAGCCTTGATACCGTTCCTCCATCGTACGAAGGTCCTGGTGAAATCGCTCGCCCTGTTCTTCACTTGAATCCCCAAGATTAGCGGGAAAATAATCTAGGTAATTGTGAAGAAAGTGTTACTTTCATGTTACATCCAAGGGTTTGAAAGTGACTCATTAGTTGTTCAACGTGTTGAGAATAGTTAGAACTTTTCTTATTTCTCAAAAAATTTTGAACAAGCCAAACAAACTCATTCCATGCGTTTTTCTGAATTTCTGTCATAGTGTCCGTAAATTTTGTGTCTCTTATTAATGATATTATCTGTGGCTCATCGAAAATGCCCGCGGTAATAAGAAATTTTAGTTTTTCTCGTTACCAATTTTCTTTCTTTTAGACTTGAAGCCAACATTTCTGAAGCTGACTTTCACAGTCGCAGATCTCTAATTAAGTCGTTTAAATCATCTTGATTGAATGGTGTTGGCATTCCCAGGTCGCATTCAAAGACACTATCACTACTGTCGTTTTTCGTCTCAAAATCTTTTGGCTCTTCCATATTGAGGTTCAGGTGTAGACTTAGAGCTCAGGACACGTCTATGTGCCGATTGTATGGAAAGATATTCCCATTTGGCTCAATTTTTTCTGTTAATACCAGTTATGTCCACCAAACAAAAATAACAATCGTCATGGTGGTTAATGGGTTCATTCCAAATCATAGCAGTTTTGTACCTGAAGCTATATCTTTTCTTATTTGCCCATAAAAGTAGGAACTCAACAAATGTTTTGCATACCTTTTGCGGAATCTAAGGCTTATTATTCGTTTCCAGCGGTGCCCAAAGTAAATTTTGTAAGCCTCATTTACGAACGTGGTCACATTTAAACGGTATTCTTTAAATACATACTCTCCGCAAATGAAACAAAAATTGTTTGAATCATTACCACATACTCTTCTTGACGATGCCATATCAAATTAAAAAATAATTCAAACAGGAAAGATAATTTCACTATTGTCTCACTAAACCTTCCTCTAAAATAACAAAAGATAATTTCTTAAGAATTCTGAAATTGGGTTTTACCAGTCATTAAAGAGAGGTACTTTTACCTTTATAAGTATGTTCTAAGAAACAACAGGGGGTGTCCGCGGTCGAACAACGTGGATGACATATATCTTCATAGCAAATTTTCAATTTTAATGGATTGATGAACCTTAGAGCTTTTCTTAGCTCAGATCTTGGGAAATTCTTACCTTATTTAAAAATCAACAATTTTACAAGATTTTTTACGATTTTAAGGCAATAACCAAGTTTTCGGGCCCGATGAGATGACCCATTGTGATTTCTGGTTTATTCAATTAAGAGAGACAGATAAACATTTGTATATACTAAAAATTCTTACATCAATTAAAATGATGCATCAATATATCTACATTTTACATAGCGTTAGATAATTATAATTTCAACATTTCTTATTGTACCTCAATATCTTTGTTTCATTCTACATTAACACATTTCCATTTGTTTCTTTTGTCTATAAAAGTTCAGTACCTCACATTCATATTCATCTCCCTTTTCTTAAGATCGTTCATACTGTAGTTTTTGTACAAAATTATTTAGTTTCATATTTTTATTATTATTATTATTATTGTTAAGTATATCTTTACTTTTTTTATAGAACTGTATTAATTATATGATAGTTTTATGTTAAAGTAGTACTTTTTTAGATATATTCTTTTTCATTCTTTATTTTGGCCTCTAGAAACTATTTTTATTGTAAAACATAAACTATTGCAACGCAGATTTATTTTTAGTTTTACATAAATTCTTTTCATAACCTTTGATTTGTTTTTGTTTATGTATACATTCTGCTATATTTTGGGTAACGACATAATTATTATGTTATTTCATTTTGTTTCTGTCAGCTAAAAATACTCCGGTAAGATAATCTTCTAAACTTATCGATTTTTACTTCCAAAGTCCAGTAGTAACAAAGTTTATTACTTTTCTTACATAAAATCAAGTAGTCACCAATACATTCTATCCCACGTCAGTAAGGCTATTCATGTGGCAGCGATGTCGTTAAAATGTTCACAGGTTCAATGGAACTATCATAAATTATTATAAAGCATCTCGAGTATATTCCAAATATGTCGCAACGATTAAAAAGAGGAAAATATGTAATAAATAAGAGTCGGTTGCGGTTGGCCACACTAAGCACCCATTGAATGCCACATACTCTGTCAATGGTCAATGGGATAAAACTATCAGAACCATAAAAGAGAAAAACTCTGTGCAGTTGTAAAGCAACCAAGACTGCATAAAGAAAGTTAAGAGTCTTAAAAGCGTGCTGAAT